TCTGCAGAACTAAAATTAATTTCTCGTGAAACTGCACGACATTTTAAAATCTTTTTAGGTACTCTTGCTTCATGTTCGATTTCTGGGACAGACCTTTGTATAATAAATTTCAAAGTTAATTCAAAGATTATATCATTGCAGCGTTATTGTATAGGTTATGATATACTTACAAATCTTCGTTACCTTGCCATAATATTTTACCACTGTCAGCGTCTCGTAAATTCATCCAATTTCTGTGATAAGTAATAGTTAAGAAATACAATTATAAATTAATATATATAGATTATAAGATGAATAAGATTTTTCATCGTAAACTGACTTTAACCTATAAAATGCCACGATTATATGTAATTTATTTGCAATAGGATTCTAATTTTGTTATTTAAAAAAAAGGATACACTTGAAAGCCTTTAAGTATATCTTCGCCTCGAGAAGGCATAATTATTTTCACACGAAATTAATTACTTTTTATCTTGTATGTACATAAATGTAAAATCCATTCGAAACTATCGATTCTTTAATTTACTAATTTGTAAGCAGAAAGTAGCCATTGGTCATATCATAGCTAATTTCAGGTATCATTGATAGAATAGATAGACTTATAAAAATTATTTTTAACATTTGTACATTAAATAGCATAAATCATAAATTATAGATAATTAGAATAGATAAGATATAGAACATGAAATATACATACATATATTGCATGTTATATTTCATAACATATTCTAAATTAGATATTAAGAATTAAGATTAATATATATATTTCATAATTTGCAGATTTTATTAGATTATCGATCCAAGATTTTGCAAGATAATATAAAAATTAAAGTAATATACGAATAATAATTTTTGTTAATGTATAGAGAAATTTTTTTAATATAAAAGAATCAAATTATCTAGCATTTTTATTATTTTCATCTTTTTGACTTAGATAAAAACGAGATAAAAGTAGAATATAATATATTTAGAAAAATTAAAAAAAATTTATTAACATTTCTTCTAATCAGTATTATCAATTTAAAAAAAGTTGTATCGTTATTTTTTATTTTATATCATTGTATATTATTTTTAAGCAAATTATTATATTTAATAATTTTATAAATATATTTATAATAATAATAAAATAATGATAATCAATTATAAATTATTGTATATTTCCGTAAATTTATTGAATAAATCAAATTATTAAATAAGATATTTAATTATTTTTTTTTATTATTATATTTTATATTTTTAATAAAAAAATTTTTGTATTTATATTTTTGCGAAATAGAATAAAACATAATAAAACGTGATCGAATAAATTTTGTTAAAAATTTTTATCAATAAGTTAGACAAGGAGAATAAATAGTGGGACAAAGATAGTATAAAAATATTGAAATCAGCGCCATCT